CAGGTAAGAAAGGTATTTTTAGAACCTCATATGAAACATTAGAAATGGTCTGTAAACTTAATGTGTTCTTTTTATTATCATGATACCATTGATTACTTTCTGGCAGAATGTTAATGCAGATTCATTCCAGCTTTCAGTTTTCAGAGATTTAATTGGCTATAACAAATCAAGATATATGAAGGATTAGATGGCAGAAATAAAATAAGTAATGCAAGTGTCTAAAAGTAAGGGAAAATCTAAATACTGATACAGTAATTTTCCTGAAATCGTGACTGGATTATGCCTCTCAAAGACTTCTAATTTTTTTTAAATTTCAGCTCCTCATTGATGTGTGTGCTGTGTGTGTATGCGTAGTATTTTAAGAATTGTTTGAATGACTAAGCATTAATCCCCCATTATTTCAACTGTCATTAGTCTACTATTACAATTAAACTTTTTTCGTAAGAGCAAATTGCTAGATTTGAATTACAAAGGCTAAGTAAAAGGAAATGAGCTTTATTAAAACAAAGATCAAAGTAAGTGACCAACCCAAGTATGATAAAATTTTTTACAAACTCTAGCTACTCAGATGTCTTCCTTTGACCTAGCTCTTTGAACATGGTAAACAGAATAGGATTATAAATTGAAATTTTCCCCTCATTATTTTCATTGGTATTTAATACTTTCTGAAATAAAACTGAAGGTTGTCTAGAATCAGGATTTTTCTGGACAAATTAATACGATTTATGTTTTCTAATATGATGTATCTAAAGAAATCTCAACTTGAGTCTTTTCAACAATTGGAGTGTATAAATTAGAGAAAACGTGGGTGATAATATACTGTTCTATGATTCCACTTACATGAGATACCTGGAATAAGTAAATTCATTGAGACAAAAAGGAGAATCGTGGTTATCAGGGGCTGAGGGAAGATAGGGATGGGGAATTATTGTTTATAGGTACAGAGTTGCTTTGGGAGATAATAAAGAGGTTCTGGAAACAGAGTAGTGATGGATGAACAACATTGTAAATCTGCTTAATACCACTGAAGTGTACACTTAAAGATGGCAAAACGGTAAATGCTCATATGTATCTTTACTGCAATAAAAAGTTTAAGTAATAGTGTCTTTTAGGAACATTGATAATGAATACATTATTATAATAATTCCAACAACTGATCAGTTTTCTAGGAGTATACAATAATTAATGTGATTAAATATGTGAGAAAATATTAATTCATCCAAGGTTTTTAGTTTTATTTAGAGGAAAAAATTCAATACGTATTTTTAATGATGATATATTTTTCCAGGAATATTTTGAAATTTTTTAAATGATAAGAGTAATACATAAATGCTTGCTCATTAGAATATATCTGAACAAAGTTTCTATTTGAAAAGCCTAGAGAACGGAAAGTAAAAACCTCATAATGCCCTCCCAATTTCATTTCCTGTCCAGATACATAAAATTTTTAACAGATTAATATATAGTACAGATAGAATATGTGCTTCTAAAATCAGCAATTGAATTTAATCATCACTGATGAAGAAAACTCTAAGGGCAGTAGTTGCCCTCAGTGCCTCCATGTCTTGGAGGCACTAAAATCCATTACGAAGGTAAAGTAACTTCTCCCTTAGAGCCTCAAAAAGAGTGTAGCTCCTCCTTTGTAATTTAAATAGATAAAAGAGGTTGGAAAAAAAGTACGTTCACCTTTAAATATCATTTTTAAGCATTACATTTTTATCTCCAACCCCAACTTCTCACCTTCACTTTAGACTTACACAATGAACTTCCAATTGAACAGCACAACGTGAATGAGCACGAAATTCTGAAAATTTGGTGTGTCTGAAACACTTGATTCAGTCTCCGAACTCAGTCCTCGTGGTCCCCATCTTGGTGAACAGCAAGTCCACTCTGCCTGGGTCAGAAACCCGGTGGACAGCTTTCCCTCTCCCCGCCCTCTCACGTGCAGCCCCCAGCCCTCCAGCAGAGGCTCTGATCGCTGGCCCCTCTCTCGTCTCCCCTGCCCGCCCCCTCGCTGGTCTCCCGGATCTTTGAAGGCACAGAACGTGCTCCCACCCCATCTGCTCTGCTCCCGCCCTCTCGGGAGACGAAGAAGCTCCTCTCCAGACACCCGCCTGGAGCCCCTCTGATCTCATTCAAGTTCCTCTTCAGCTATTACAGTATCAGAGAAGCTTCCTCTGATGACCTTATCCTACCCTATCTCCCTCTATTTCCTTAACCTGACTCACCTTTCTACGCAGCACTCATGACCCTGGGCTCATTCTATTCCTGCTTGCTTATTTGTATGCTGCTGTTCTCCATCCTTCAGAATACAAGCTATGTCCAAGAACTTTGCTTTTGTTTTGTTTTGTTTTGTTTTGTTTTGTTTTGGTGTTAGAAATATTAGTTTTACTTAACCAATTTCACAACTGAGTATTATATAAAAACTTTGCAGATTGTACAGTTTATATACAGTTCAAGCTACTGAGTGAAAAAGTAGGTCCCACAGACTCAAACTGCGGCACCAGCCAATCCAGGGTGGAGGCGGGTTTGCACACTGTACCGCGCCCCACCCAGCCCGCGGGTGGTCGTCTCTAGGTGTGAACTGCAAAACTGTAATAAGGTTTCGGTTTCATTTCATTCTTCACACATTTAATGATTGCAGGCCCAGAAACCTTTGTATTGTTTACCATTGTTCTCCAGATGCTTAGGACAGTGTTTGACGTTCAAAATGAACGGAATGATGTCGTGACTGGCTGCTGTGTCTGGGCGTATGTTTACGTGTCCCTGTAATCGGATTTATGTTGTAATGCTCACTACTTCTTCAGGCAAATCACAGGAGAATGCTGAATGCTGACATTTGACTATTTCTTTATTATACAAAAGTCAGTTTCATGTTCACAGTAACATTTCTAAGACTGGGTGACCTTTTGAATGTCTCTTTTTTTTCAGACATATGTGCTATATTAACTGTTTAAGTACCTACGAGTCTTGTTTTTCTAATGGGAATTGCTGAATAAATCTTGTCAGGTTTACCAATTAACAGTTTCTATAGAGCACATACTTGTCCTTCGGTATTAAACTAATTATTAAAAGCAAGTCGTTTCTCAGTGTTATTATCTATAGGAAGTAGAAAAAAATTCTAGGGAAAGAAAGTGAAAAAAACAAACAAACCATGAGAGACTATCAGTACAGGCAGAGGAAACACCATATGGGCTAAACAGTTAAAGTGTTTAATGTTTGGCATTTCTTTGGGCAACCAAAAATATGTTCAATGCAAAATTCCTTTTGTTAAGAATTTCAAATAATTTTTAAAGATCTTCTGTATACTTCCCCAACCACAGTCCTTAAAGTTACATGAAAAAAGAGGGAAAATTCAACTGGTTAAAAGAAACTCAAATGTTTGATAGAGTATTAATGACAATCATCTTGCTCTGTCTAAATGGTCTTGGTCCCATCACAGTATAAATCCAAAAAAAATCTACCTCCAAATAAGAAAAGAAACTGTTTAGAATTTATTGCTGTCATTGGTCATTTTCTTCATCACCATCAAATAAACAACCTTTTGCTAAATGGTATTCATGTAATTTCACTCTTCCTATAGTGCTGGTGTTGGAAGAACTGGAGTTTTCATTGCTCTGGACCACTTAACGCAGCATATAAATGATCATGATTTTGTGGACATATATGGAATAGTAGCTGAGCTGAGGAGTGAAAGAATGTGCATGGTACAGAACCTGGTAAGAGGTCCAAAACTGTGTGGGCTGTCAGCTCTAGAAGTTCTGCATGAGAGGAACTTAGTGGCAGCAGCCTGGCTGGACATGGACTTGAACCTGTATTCGCATAGCAGACACACTCTTTTCCGGCAGTACAGACCTCCTTGTGGGAGGACTTGGGGAAGGCAGCCGATGGAGGTGATAGCACAGAAGTGCATGTGCCAAAGTCGTCCTTCAGCACTGTTATGGATTGTTCATCTTAACTTGTTTATACTGATAAACATAAAAATAATTCATGAAACTGATTTGTCTATAACATTTGGCAAGTTTGGGAGCTTAGGAAGTGAATTTCTTTTGTATACATGCTAAAAAGTTGCAATTGGGAAAAGTTTAAAATATTAGCTAAGGGATTTTGCATATTTGCTTGTCTATATTTATCCCTATTGCATGTTAGTACAATAATGATTGTTATGGCATATTATCAACTAACCTGGAGTTGTTAGTTTTGTTGCTTTGATTTGGAGACAAAAATGCCTAAATTTTTTTTCATTAGAAAAATCATACAGTATGATAAGACTAAAAACCCCCCATTGAGTGTCTAGTGGGTTCCAAGTGCTATAGGGGATCCTTTACCTGTATTATCTTATTTAATCCTTGTAATCCTTTATTTATAAAGCAGCACCAATGAGACTAACCAGCAGAGTAGGTCTTGGCTCTGCTTTACAAATAGGAAAGCATGTGTTCCAAAAAGTTAAGTGATATCACAAAGTTACACTAGTAAGTGTCAGAGCCAAAATTCAAACCCATTTGTCTAACTATACTATACAAGATGTTCCTACCTGTGTCTTTGGATTGACACTTGTATGTTACACAAGTAGAAATTTTCTCACAGTAAATATGCAGAACTGTACTTATATTAAAATTAGTCAGTAAATTAAAAGATCCTGCTCTAGACGAGGAGACATCCAGACTTGTTGGATTGCATATCCCTTTCAGGAAAACTGTTTGGGCATTCAACTCCAATACATATATATTTATTTTTTAAATGTAGCTTGTATAATTATGTAAATTCTAAAACTTTCAAAATAAGAAATCGAAAACCATGAGATAAAGATCAAATAAATATTTTGAAACCTTGCTAATTCTGATGGCTTCATATTATCATTAGGTATTTTCAAAAGATAAAACACACACTTAGTACAAGATAATTCTATTTCAGTAGTGGTTTTAAATGCATATTTTAAATTGCTTATAATTTTTTAAGTTGATCTAGCTCTTTGTCAGATCTAATTACAATGTTTTTACCTGATAGTATGGCTGTAAGAAGATTATTCTGGGTGTTTGAAGAATGTCAGCTCTGCCACTTTCTTGTCATTCATTTGAGCTTGCATAATAAATATCTTCAATCCATAGCTTCTTTGTAGGAATCATTTTCTGCCAAATCAATTCTGTGATCATTAAGTAAAACTAGGTAATGCAATCCATATGCTTCCCTTATATGCTGAAAGAGAACCATTGAGGGAGGTATTCTTTCCTCAGAGTATTTCGGAAGTGGAATCTGACTTCTGAAGGAGGGTTGGCTTCATGTGTATGCAACCCATGTAATCCCAGAGGGTGCTTGATTCAATGTTTGCTGTCACTGTCTTTAAAATATTTAATAATTTTTGAGGAAGGAAACTTGCATTTTCATTGTGCAGTATACCCTGTAAAAAAAATGCATAGCTGGATCTTCTCCAAGGCTTTTATGCAGTGTCCAATGTCAATTAACCATTATTAAAACTCAACTTCTTATTTTTAATTAACAATACAGAAAAATAGAAACTTAACATATTCCTCCCATGTTCCTGGGTGTACACATGTGCACTGGGGATGAATGCTCTTGACATTGATCAAGATAGGTTGGTTCTCTTGGATAGGATAGAAGGTGGGACTGATTGGATATTGTTTTCTTCTAGAGTCTAAAGTCAGTCTTCAAATAAGAAAGTTGAAAAACTTTTGCCATGCTCGGTAACTTCACTCAACTTTGTAAAGAGGGTTCAAGAATGCCTGTTAATAAGTTCACATGATTTATTACTCAGTGTACACCATAAACTTCAGACATTATGTTTATTTAGCCAGTCAGAGTAAATGTTGCAGGTTGTGTAAGGGCATGGGAAAAGCATGGATTTCAGAGTTAGAGAATTGAGTTCAGATTCCGGCCCCATATTCGCTTGCTCTGTAACTTTTTTAATTGCCCTCTCTGAGCATTTTTTCTTTTGTAAAATAGCAGTGCTATACTTTTTGCAAGTTTATTACCAATATTAATTAAGAGAAAGCATCTAGCACATCAAGCAGGCAGTAAATGCCCAGCAGGCAGTAAATGTCTGACAAGCCTGCTGGGTTCCCTCCTTGCTAAAAAGCTGTCCTCCAAAGCTCTCTTTCACCTGAGTTCCTGTGCAGAAGTTATGCCTCTTACTGTCCTTTGTACGTGAGGAGAAAAGGGAATGTGACCACACCTCTGCTCCAGTCCTTACACACCCAGCATCGTCTTGCCTGAGATAGGTTTCTTATTTTCTTCCATTGTACCTGGGAGTGAGTCCAAATTCTATGAAGAGAGCTGTCTCAGCACATGTTACAGTAGCCAGGGCAGGGCTGGGGAGGCGGGGACCTGGGTAATAGAGCCCCCGAAGGGGCACCTGAGGGGCGTGGCCCAGCCCCAGGCAGAGCTTTGACTTCTCTCACTGCCTACCAAAAAGTTCACAGCAGCAGCAAGAGATTTAAAAGAACTTTCTGAAAGAATAAGCTAGAGTGGGACAATATCCTGAGGTATTTTCAGTGCCTCAAATAAGAGTTGATCCGGATGCGTCCTTTCCTGTTCTGGTTCTCCTGGCCATTTACTGATGTGAGCTCTTTAAGGTGGAAGAAAAAAATTACTAATACTTGGGGTGCCTAGTTTTTTGCCAGACAATTTACATACGTTAAGTCCTTTAAATCTGACAACATAGGTTTTATGATTCCCCCAGATGAAGAAACTGAACATCAGAAAAGTTTAATTTGAAGTCACATGACTATTTAGCTAGTGTAGAAATGGACTTGACCTCTTCCCTGCCTCTTTGGCAAGAAGACACCAGAGCCTTGGGATCTTGGAAAATGTAGTGCCGCCCCACGGAGCTGAGCCTGTGCTGCTGGCAGGAGTTACACTCACATTCTTTCCAGTGGAGAAAATGAGAGCAGGACAGTCAGAGGCTTCCCATATTAAATGTGACTTCAAATTCAAGGTGGCTTAAAAAAAACACCGGAACTGATAAATGTAAATGATGTTTTTTCCAAGGAAATTATATCATGTCAGTATATTTCTGCCACGGTTATCATTGATATGATGTATATTTGAAAACACTCTTTTAGAATTATCTTGAGAAGAAATTCACTAGCAATTACAATAGATTTTTTATTATTTTATAACAACACTTCATTTCTTACTAAAATTGAATTACATAACTCAATCATCGACCTCACTTACATAACTTGATCCCTAATGACTTCTGGATGTTCTCCAAATGAAACCTTTCCTTAAATGGTAAAGACTGGCTAGCCATAAGAATTAAATGAGACTAAGTCAACAAACATTTATTATGCAACTATTATGTGCCAGGTACTATTAACAAGCAATGGGAATATAGCAGTGAATGTGACAGAGTTCTGTCCTCATAGACCAGACATTCCACTGATGAGATGTTTGTGGAAACATTTTGTAATCCACAAATAAATAGATATTCCTAATAATGACCAACAAGTTATAAAGACAGCTTCAACAGAGGAGTTCCAAAAACGTTTTGAGATACAGTAGCAATAGATATAAATATAACCTTTTAAGATGCTCACTTTAAAGGACATCCTATTTAAATGAATTGTCAGTGTGTGTGATATATATATATCATAGGTTATATATATATATATATAAAGTCTTAAACATTCGGTGTATTCCTTTAACATCAGGTATGTTTCCTATGTAAAAATGAGGGTGATTTTCTATGACTGTAACGTTAGCTACTCTGGGGAAAGTTCAACCCAGTTATGCTAACAGATTATAGAATTACATTGAATAAATTTAAAGAACTCTGATGGTACTGAATTTAGCCCAAATACTTAGATAAAATGTTAGGAGTCCTTGTAAAGCACCTGGATGTTTAATTTGGCCAACTGGTTTGTATTTCAAATTTGGGATGCTCAACGAATTGTCCACGTATTTTATATGTGCTGATGGTATGCAGATATACTCATTCACAGATTCCAAAGTAGATTTGACATCTGCATTCCACAGCCATTCTGACAAGAAAACTTATTTATAAGAAAAAAAGGAAACTCATAAACACATTTAAATAACCTAATTGGCCCCTTTTTATAATTACAGCAAGAAAGATTATATTAACACTTGTTATTTAATGACAAGTATTTTTAAAAAACTTGAAGCTACAAGAAATCACAGCAATTTAGAAAACCTTATGTTTGCAATGGTAAAAATCATTTATATACATGGCTAATTCTGTGCCTCTAAATTTAGCTCCTTAACATTCGTTGAGTGAATTTTACCTTTCACTATAATCGTAGAGCCCCCCTCATAAGAAAAATCTGCGCCGCATTCGTTTATCTAACCACTGTTTCTTTGGTATCTAGGCACAGTATATCTTTTTATACCAGTGCATTCTGGATCTCTTATCAAGCAAGGGAAGTAATCAGCCCATCTGTTTTGTTAATTATGCAGCACTTCAGAAGATGGACTCTTTAGATGCAATGGAAGGTAAACAGAAGCAATATGTACCAATTTACTAGTTTACCACCTATAACATGAGCATTAATTCAAAAATAAGCATAGGTTGAAATATTTAGATGTTTGGTTACTGCATATATCAATTTTTTTGTTCCTCTCAAATCCAAATTAGGATAATAGCCTTTCCATCTGCACTGCGTTTTTGCCACAAACGTTTAAATCTTTTGAACAGTTAACTTCAATTCTTTCTTGTGACATGTTACTATTATGTTACAGGTGATGTTGAGCTTGAATGGGAAGAAACCACCATGTAAATGTTCAGACCAAAGATTATAACTGGAAGATATTTTCAAATCCCAGGGGCCAAAATTACCCCCAGATTCTTCTGAATTCAAATGTGTAACCTTAAAGAAATCTCTGCTGTTCTCATACTGTGCCTTACTAAATGGACTGACATTTCATGAATAGTTCTAGGAAGTATCTAATTCAGGAGAGTTATTTGTTTTGTACAGAATAAATATTATGCATTTAAAATGTATAAGAAAAGGTATTCCAGAGATTTTTGAAGTCTTCGATATTTTTGGAATGAGCCAAATGTAAAAATTATTATGTTAGTATTGATGCTTCAATGTAAATTTCCCCTACATATTGGGTTTAATCTTGAACACAAGTTGTAAATGTTGATTCAGTCATGTTATTTTGGCCTCCAGGGTGTTAACGTTTCTTGCGGATAACTTCCACCACTGTCATAATGATCTGTACTTCCATGTATGCCCCTGTGTTTTGAATCCTCTGTTTTATGAGTGCTGAGATATCATCTCATGATCTTGAACAGCTGAACAGTAACCCCCTGACACTGAAGGGATTACTTAGCCTTTATACAGCACACAGTAGCTCTTCGGGGACACTAGGGCTATTTAAATTGCATTGTGATCTCTAGTTTGAAAAAACAAAAAAGAAAAATTAAACAATGCGATTGCTTATATGAAGGTGTAGAGCACTTTCCTAGCCTCTCCACAATTGTATGTTTTCAGGGACAAACTGTTCCACTGTATTGTGTATTTAAACACATCATTAACTGTATCAGAGTATTTGTTTATAAGATGTATGTTCAACTTAGTATTAACAGTTTTGAAGGGTTTCTTCAGCAGAAATGTATAAAAACATGGAATGTATTACATGCCTATAAACTAATGATGTGTTTCTGTGGTGCCAACAGAGACTTCTGAATAGATTGTATCAAATGGTCTTTATCTCACTTCCCAAGGTTGATTATGGAGGAGTCTATTTGGTGGGACTGAACAAAAAGAAATAAACAGCTTGTAACAAATTAGAGATTTTTTTTAAAGGGAAGAATTTTCACCTCCTTATCATTAGATACTGACAATGTACTAAGCAAGTTTTGAACTATATGAAATTATGTTGTCATAGATTTCAAATAAAGGTCATAAAATGAAATAGTATTATTTATTATATTTCATCTATGATCAAAATTATAGCTTATGCTTATTTCTGCTGAAATATACATACAGAAAAAGTGATGACCAATAAAATTGAGTTTTAAAGAATTGAGTTACTTTGCAGCATGATTTCAGAGGTCCTTATAAATGTAAATTTGATTTTGTATTACATATTAAGATATAGCTGATAATGTAACAAAGTATATACAAATAAATAAATATAATAC